TTTCCCAATTTCTGAGAGTCAACCTTGATAGAGACAAAGGTAGTTTGGCTTCAGTAATCTTAGCTAAATTTTTCAATTCTTGACAATATACATTTAAGAAATCCTAATTTTGATTCAGTTCTGTGACACAAGAGAGATAGTATGCTTCAGTGTGGCCTTCTTTAGTCAAAATGCAAGAGAATCTAGAAATGTCAGTCTGCAATTGAAGTTTCACCTCCATGAGGACAATGATCATTTGACCATCACAGTATTTTTGAATTATTTGAATTAAGTGTCCCAGAGTTCTGACTCTGCAAAGTTTAGGGAAAAAATTGACTTTTCCCTCTGTCACATTTGTAGCAATAACTGTCAACACAGAAGAGGAGGAAACTTGATAAAATATTTGTGTAACATAGCTTGGTACATTAGTAGGGCTAACATCCTTGGCTGAGTAAAAATGACTCATTCTTATGTATATTCATCTGTGGGATGAGCATCCTTAACAAGGCAAAAGAAGGTAAAGCTCTCCTTTAAATTCACTGCTATCTCATAGTTGGGAGAAGTAAAGTTAGCATGTAGTGTCCTCTGGAATCCTATTTGGCTTTCTTTTCTTCAGTGGAGAGTGGGAGTGGTTCTCTCAATTTGTCTTCACGCAAGAAGATCTGGGCTACTGCTCTACCATTGATTTTCCTAGTAGACAATGTGCACAGGACTTTTCAGAGACTTTCCAAATTTAGAATCACTCGGGGCCCGAATATGTGATCTCCATGTTGATACAAGATTTCTGCTGCAGATTGACTATGAGAATTAAGGAAACAGGTGTACCCCCTGGAAAAACAAGGTATTTTAAAGTAGAACAAAACAGAACTACACCCTAACTCTTATCTGTTAAAACATCTCTCTCAAGCCAGTAAATTGGAATCAACTTTAATAACCTTGTGCCTTTTAATGTCCTGATATGCAACTGTTTTGTAATATAAGAATGACATTAGAAACTGATAGCACCTGCTGAGCTATTAGTAGACCAAGGAATATACGTTTATTCACCTAAATGGAAATCCTCACTTTTGGCTGATGAATATTGGCACTCAAGGAGATCATCCTAAAATAATCTCTAAGTTCTTATCCAGCTGAAGTTAGTATTTTATCCTGACCTGTGTCCTTCTGAGGGGCTACAATTTTCTTAAAATGTAGCTTTTATCTAGGAGGTGAAAATATAGCTCTACACTTCACCAAAAGTCAAGGTTGGAGGTACTGTGGACTTCTCTAGAGCATTCTCCATTTCACTGTTGCCTTTAAATTTTCAGAAGTTTACAGGTGATTCTGGAGGACCTGTGTAGTAGGGGATACAGTTTCTTTAGGACAGTGATTGAAGGGAGGGATCCTCTCTGCCATCCGGACCACTGCTCAAAGGGCCGGTGTGATTGCTGGGAGAGGACTTCCCCCCCCAGATTTGTTGGGAGGGAAAAGTACCAGGAACCTCTGTTCTGGTCCTCAAACAAAGCTTCTGGATTTTGCAGTGTATTTTAGATACGTGAGACGATATATTTTTGCAAGTAACTAAAACGCTATAGTTAAAGTAAGCATCCCTCTTGACCCTACCTTCCACCCCCACCTTTCTAAAGCCCAGACAAATATAGAAGAGAAGACTATTAAAAGGCTACCAACTAACCCTCCATTTATTTTTTATACATATAAAAAGCTATGAATTTTTGTTTTTTACTATTATACCATGTAATTATTCAGCATCTTTCTTCTTTTTACTATTCCATGTCTTACATTTTTATGATGTCCATAAATACTTATCTCTTGTTTTCAAATGCTGTCAATAGTCCATATTATGGATGAACCACTATTTAGCCACTCCCTATGAAAGATATTTTCCAACCTTGTGTGACTAATCATATAATCCAAATATATAAAATAGATAAAAGGTATACTTGATCTGCCCCCTCATTAAGCTATATAAACAGAAAGCATACTAATCCCTTTGTACTTTGTTAAGATACTTTGCTCCTTAGTTCCTTTATCTGTGAAATGGGAATAAAAATCCATCTCATGAAGGTCATGAGAAGGATTACATCAGTTAGTGCACATAAAGTGCTCTGAACAGTACCTGGCATGCATAGCAAGCACTGTGGGTGGGCCATATTGTATTGGCCTCTTAGAATTGCTTTGGCTTTTGGCCCATATTGTCCATTAGCTGTTGACCTATTTTGTAAGTATCACAGAAGAGCAATGTGTTTTATTGGGCTCTTTAATACACAGGCATCAGCAAGGATGTTGTTTATCCCCTTTCACAAAGTCTCTCTGTGAAAATGAGCAGTTTCTGTCTTGCCCAGGAGTAGTGATGCCTCTTCTCGGTAGCCAGTTTGATTTTCCCATATTGATCTATGCATCTTTTAGCTGACTGTGCTTCTCTTTTTTTGTTGGCTGTTAGAGTGGATCCAGATTTTCCATCCATGTCTGCTATTTGTTAAGGCCTAACTACATTTTGTATATTAACTTATGCCTCTAATTTATTTTCTTACCCTTATTTTTTGGCCACCTAATACAAATGACTGTACCTCTGTATACAGAGTAGACCTTTTATTACACTGAAGGACTGTTTTGGATGAGTCCCATTATCAGCACAGCTGATAGCTCCTGTCCCCAGCAGTGACCAAAGGCTGCCTGAATGGTCCCCCAGGGGCCCTCACTGTCAGGGATGAGGTTTCAGGAAGGGCTTTAGTGACACAGCTATGGTGTGGAAATTTAAAAGCTTTTAGTCTGTATGGACTCTGGAGTATACAGCATACCTGGAGAACACACATGGATCAACACCTTTATTGGGTCCAGAGCATTATCCAAACAAGTTTTCTATGGGAAGCTTTAACTTATATGTTTAAAATAAGCAGACATTAAGTCCAGGAAGTGACTCCATGGTGGTCACTGTAAGTTTACAGCAAGTAGTCTGAATGGTTCCTTTCAGGAAGTGGTGGGAAGTGGTACTCAGCAGGAGAAATGCTTCTAAGTTATCTCTGGTCCCAGCTGGAGCCATTCTGGTGGAGTACAGTGTTAGAAGCTGTGTCAAGTTTGGCTAAACCTTGCTTCTGATAGGGAAAGGTGAACTTATATTTAAAAGCAGATACCAAAGTCCTCAGTGCAGGTCTATACATGCCCTGCACAGGGCATGTGGTACTTGCTGGAGTCTTGGGAGATTTACTCCTTGGCTTTCTCTTCTCCAATGCCCACTGGAGAAGTGGCCCGGCCAGTGCTGGAAGTCTCCATGCCCATGTTGACTGTGGTCTCACGTGCAGAGTGGCACTTGGATGTATGGGTCTTTTTCTATTCTTTTTGAACATTAAAAATCATCATTGTGAGTTCTTTAACAGAGGGGAATTTGGCCTGCTGTTCAGAATTGTTTTCCTATATTTCCTTGCCAGGTCCTGAGAAAATGTAGGGTATGACATATCCTTGGATGCTAGTCAGACAGTTTGACCCAGTGAGAGCTCCTGGTATATTAATTAATGTAACAACAATAAACTGCCATGGACAAAGAAGTCAGTTGTGATTGTGAAGGCCCTTTGTCTGTGGCGTGAAAAGCTCCTGTAACAATGGACAAGATGCAGGCCTGAGGGAAGCTGGAATACAGAACAGTGGCATCTCAGTAGGCACCATGCACCATCTAGATGGTGCCTAGCACAGCTATCTTGGGAGAGACCCACTGTACTGTCAACAGACAGCCACTCTTCTCTCGTTAGAGCTTGAGTGTGAAATATTAGGTTTCCATTTCTGTTTGAGGATAAGGAGAAGCTTTGCGACTTATTCACACTTAGGCAGTGCATTGGGAAGGGTTAATGAAGCATGGAGAAGGTACCTTTTCTCATGGAAAGAGAAGCTAAAATGCAGGGAAACGATTTCAGGACCAGACAAGCCAACCCTGGGCCTCCCTGATTTGCTCATTTGCACAATAGTTTACTACTCCAGGTAGTAAACACTTGCCTCATGAATATTGAAGTATTGGTAATACTGGGCAAGCCCAGAAGATAAGGATAATAGTTTCCTTATTTAGCAATGAGATCCACTTTTCAGACCACCAACTTCTGGTTGGCAGCCTCCCATTCAACACGGAGGAAGCACGCACTGTTAATGGGTCCAGCTTGAAAGCCTTAGCAGCTCCTTCCCTTCCTGCTGCCCACTACTCTGTCAGACACACCCTAGAAAGTGACAGCTCCCATTTTATCTCAATACATTTTATCAGTTTCTGCCTGTCCTCCGCCTTTTCACATACTCTCCTATTTGTTTGTTTGTTTTTCTATAGTTTCTGGCTACACTGCATTTGCTATGTTTTCCCATCTACTTAGTTCTTAGAGATCCCTGGCTGTTATTTAGGTTCTTCTCTAGATGTTTCATTCTAGCTTACTTCTTTCAGCCATAGTTCTACAGAAACACAGGCTGCCAACCTGGCTGCCGAAACATTTGTCAGAAGCGGGAGTAGGGTGGGGAGGGCAGTGTACATAGATAGAGGGCCTTACTATCAGCACCTCCCCACTCCCATCTCCACATTGCTGTGATATTCAGGGTGGGCCTCCTTACCACGATTGTGCCTTGGCTCTGGAGAACCCTGGTGTAAAAGTTAGGAGATTCCAAGATCTCAGCGCAGGTTTTCCTATGTAGTTCCTTGGAGAATGGTACCAGTTCCCTAGTTTCCTCAAAAACCAGTACTTTGCTTCTAGTAAAACCAGACCCAGCATGTCCAGTCAAACCAAGCACTGCTGGTCTTGAGCTCTGTCAAGGCCCTCCCAGCTAAGGGTGAAGTCATCAGGAGTGGTTGCACCATCTTCAAGGCACACCTTTCAATGGCATGTGGTCTGGTCCTCCTTGCAGTTGTTTTGAAATCTGTGGTTTCCTGTTTTGGTGGATGGTTTTTGCACATATAATCAGTGGAACTGACCTCACAAATTGAATACTTTGTATACTTCATTTGGAGGTTGCTAATATTTCTCCAACATTCTAAATGTATTCTCTTCCCTCTTTAGTCTCAGATAAATCACCACCGTGCTGCTAGTAACGAAACCTACCAGGAACGCTTGGCACGTCTAGAAGGAGATAAGGAGTCCCTCATCTTACAGGTGGGTCCTTTGGATGGAAGCCAGTTTTGTCTGTTACCTCCAGCTCTGTAGCTTCCCTAAGTGAGAGGTAAGCAGAGAGGGTTTACTTTGTTGTATTTTTTTTTAACCTCAAAGTGTATGTTTTTCAAACAAGCTTTCCCTGGAACAAAGCATAAAGTAACTAGGAGCATAACATAACCATGGCCTTGGCCTTGGGGAGCTGTGAATTCATTCATTTATTGTGCACTGCTTCTACTCACTGGGAACCTTGTGGCTCAGTGAATAGTGGTGCCAAGAGTGAACAATGTGGGCCCTGTCCTCCAGGAGCCCTGAGTCTTGTAAAGGAGATGAGATGATATAGCCTCATGTCACTAATGAAACAGAGCCATAATGATAATAGGCCTAAGGGTCAACACTAACAGAATCGAGTCCACAGTGTCTGAAGCTAGATCTAGACTTGGTGCCAAATTCCCTAGAGCTGGCAGCATGGGCAAAGCCTCTGATGACTCTTGCTTCAATGAGAGAAATTCCAAAACCTGTCATGGAGAAAGCAAAAGAAACTGCCATTACTGGAAGCCTGTGTTCCTAGATAGGACATGTTTCTTTGTTTGGTTTTTTCTTTTCCCTTCAGTACTAGGGATTGAATCCAGGGCCTTCACACTAAGACAGATCTCCAGCCATTTCTTAGTTGGAGACAGGGTCTCACTAAGTCACTGAGGTGCCTAGGCTGGGCACTACCTCAGTTGGCTAAGTTAGGCTTTCTTACAGAAGCTTACTGCTGAAATAGCTCTTTGCTATGTTAGAGCTCAAATGCCTGAATAGATTTATAAGCATTTATTCAAATCTAGTGTATATCAGATATTAATTGACAATTTGGAGTATGTAAAGACTAATATCCTAGTCTTGGCTCCTTAAAAAGCTTGAAGGATGTTGAATAAGACTGGTGGTGGAATGGAGGAAGCAACAGGTGGAGGGCCAGACCCCTACCCTCTCCAGGTGTGGGCTTTAGTTGGTGTCACTAGGGTTATGAGGCAGCAGCATGATTCTTGTTTTTTCTTCTTAGCTTGTTTATTTCGCTTTTTAGTTTTGTATTATAAACATACAATAAGCCATTTAGAAACTTTGGAAATTCTGAAGGAATCCTAAATAATTTAAAAGGAAAAGGTGAACATTTTGACCTTTTCCTAGTGGCTTTTTCCCCCTGCCTTGCTTCTATTTTAAACAGTTGAGCTCATGCCAGTTATAAAATTTAGCATTCTACTTTATTTTTTTCACTTCATTGATTCTAAAATCATAAAATAATTGAGTACCTATAACTTACCTGTCTGACCTAGTTTTAGATGCTGGAGACCCATCTGTGAAGAACTTGGACGAAGTCCCTATTCTTCTAGTGCTTGGGGACAGGGAAGAGGAGGAAAGGGGAGGAAGGGGGAGGAGAAACAAGGAAGAGAGAGAATTTGAAGCAATGTTAAGCACTATAGAGAAAAGGCCAGATAATGACTGGCAGTCAGGGAAGCTCCCAACAGGAGTTGGGGAAGGAGCCGCGCAGACACCTGCAGAAATACTTTCTACACAGAAGAGGTGGTCGGTCCAGTGCACACTGCGGCAGGAGTACGCTTAGTGTGAGGTAGAAACATCAAGGCACCATTGTGGATAAAGTCCTTCTGTGAAGAAGCGGGGGAGCCCCTTCAGAGAAGTAGCAGGGGCCAGATTTTATAGCACAGGTATTTTGAGGGGTGTGTAATTTGAAACACCATCCCAATGCCTTAAGGAAAATACCAATTTAGAATTATGTAGCAAATGGTATGAAATTGCAAACTTTTGAACCAGGATTGAAATAACACATTCCTATTTAGAAAGGATTACATTTAATAAAGAAGACCTATATAAAAGTGTTCTCTTTCACATTCATGGTTTTAAAAAATCTAAATTCCTGAATAATCCCTATTGAAATAGTCCTAACACAGTTGGGAAGCTACTTACCAGCAAAGTCAGAGGTTGACCCCAGCGGTTTCTATTCTGCAGAGCTTGTGGACAGGCTCCTAACAGCATTCTGCGCTCACTCCTGTTTCCTGGTCTCCTGGGCCATGGAGCTGTTTAGACAGACCCTTAGCAGTATATAACCTCTTGATAAAGTCACACAACAGCTACCCCAGACTAAATTAACTGGACACTTTGGCCCAGAATGTTTTCCTGTATCTGTTTGTAGGAGAACAAGACCAATCATAAAGAATAAAATAATTTGTTTCAGAGATTAATTAAACACATTTTATATTTTTACTATAACGCAATTGCTTTAAGGCAGGAAATATCATCTTTTTTTTTTTTTATTATTACTATCTCTGAATCCCGGGTCCCTGTACCTAAAATTATGCCTAGCATGTACAGGGGCTCAAAAAAATAGTCATTTCTGTTGAATGAAGGTCACATTCTGAGATCTTTATACATTTTGTCCCAATTTTCTAGACTTCTTCATTTACAATACTTAGGGCTAGTATTGAGGCTCTCAAGGCCCCTGCAACCCTGATGTCTTTAGTCCCATGTGCAGCTACACCAGGAACTATTGCTTGGGGCCATATATTATTCTTCAGGGTGCTGCTGCCAGCAGGTGGCTTCAAGGCACGGTGGGACCATATAGGTGTTAATCCTCGTAATGGAATTAACCATAGCACGTCCTTCCCAACTGGAAATTTGTCCCAGGGAACAGAGGTCTGTGCCCCTCCCCCTACCACCCCAGTGTTACTCTTTCCTAATTGGAATTAGTAGTTGAAAAGGCCAGGGCTGCTGATAGTGTTGAAGAAGAATTGAAATGCAAGCAAGAAAAGTACAAAAAGCTCTGTTGTGTAAGTTGATCCTTGTTGACAGAAGGAGTCAATTGTTGGTTTAAAATTGAAAAGTTAAATGCACCATGCCTCAACTTCAGAAATGTTTCAGTAATTCATTCAACATTTGGGTGCATAAAAAATGAAAAGCGTAAAGTAGCCATACTCACTTAGATTCACTGCTTTTTATGGGAACTTTGTAATTCATAAAGTTTATTTAAACAGTTGTAAATGAACTCAACTCTTTGATGCTCCCTCTATCGCTCTATTGCAGACTGGGAAATAATTTAGAATAATCTATATACAAACAGCAATGACTAACTAAAAAGTTCTCAGTTTACCATCAGTTGATGTCTTTATTTCAAGAAGCCACCCATTCCTTTTCTTTATCTTCCTGCTTTGCTTTGTCTTAAAGAAAGAAAGAAAGAAGAAAAAAGAGCCCCTGGAGCAGTTTGCTAATAGAGGTCATGAAAACCCTCATAATATGTATTTAGTGCATAACTGAAATTACTTGTAACTGGGTTTTTATTAATTAATATTTCCAAGAGAATCTTGGAGTTCCTCAGAAAAAGACTTTTTTCTGCCATGTGTGCAATTGTGGCTTCTGTGTATCTATGTCTTGGAGTCATGTTTTGGCCTGTGAGGCACAAAAACCTTCCTGGAGCCAAGTTTTGTCAGTGCTAACACATGCCCTTTACGTCCCACATTCCTTAATTGCTTCAAAACCCTCATCTGATAGGTGAGCAGTCCCTAGGCTTTTATGAGAGGGGTAAGGTCATTGGTTAATTTCCATGGAGGCTTGGACTGCCCTTCCCCATGAGGTGGCAGAAGCCCTGGCACACCAGGTAAGCTATGTCTTGAAGTTGGCTGTCCTAGTAAAGGAGGAGATGCAGGATTCCAGCCCAGAGGCAGCACTCAGCTGTTGTGCGCTTCTCTTTTGAAACTATCGAGGACAGGAAGGTGACCAAAATCATTCAAGCAGTGGGTGAGACTCCCTAATAAGGTAAGACTCCATCTGGAGTTGCCTTCTTCCAGGCCATGCCCCCCGCACCTCACCTAAAAGAACAGCTGTCCTGAGGCTGGGGATTTAACTCAGTGGTTCTGCTGCCTGCTTCACAAGCATAAGGTTCCCAGTTCAATCCCCGGTACCAAAAATAAAAATAAATAAATAAATAAATAAATAACAGCTGTCCCTAGCATGTGGGAGTCAGTGGTGCACTTTCACTGCTCACCTGCTTTATAGCACAGACCTTGTTCCTCCATTGTTGACTTATTTCCTGCAACAGGTGAGTGTCCTCACAGACCAAGTGGAAGCCCAAGGAGAAAAGATTCGGGACCTGGAAGTGTGTCTGGAAGGACACCAGGTGAAACTCAATGCTGCCGAAGAAATGCTCCAACAGGTAAGGGCAAATTGGGTGGAAGGGAACAGGGCTTGTATTAAAAATTCCTTTCTGAGCTCCTGCTTCCTTTCCCATGCCACCTGGAGATGGGGTTGGCTGTTCTTCACTCAGTGTTTAAACAGCAGGTGAAACCAGCCTGAACATCGAGGGCAGAGAAGAGCTGGCCTGAGCCAAATAACCTGTTGAGCTGGTTAGACAGATTCTCAGGAGGCACTTTCTCTAGCAGGGTACACTGAGCTCTGCTGGCTGTGTCACCCTCGTCTTACCCCAGGGACCACAGTTTGACATTGGTGGCATTTGGAGTTTTAGAAAGTCAGCTTATTTTCTGCCCTTTCCCTGGTCTCATTCCCTATTGTAACAGAATTTAATAGATGTTGAAATGACAAACAAACAAACAAACAAACAAAAAAACCCAGCTGCTTTCCTAGCATTCAAATAATGTCCTTTCCTTGTTTGTTTTTGTTGTTGTCGTTACATGTACAAATAATTTAAAAAGTTTTGGTCACACAGGCATGCGACATGGCCCTCAGGTTTTATATGCTTAATATCATGTAGTGATTCTCTATTTTAGAATTTTACTGTTTAGTCATCTTCATTATCACTTATAGCAGTTTTATTGTGTGTGAATGTATCATAATTGCCTTAACTGTTCTTCCTCTGAATAGTTTTACTGTACTGTAAATATTGTTAATGACCTTCAGTTATCACAAAGGAATATTGACTTATCACATCTTTTCAGAATCTATTGAGAAGCTAAATTTTAAAAAATTAAGCCTATTAATAAGTTTTCTAGACTTAAATTTTTCTTGCATTATTAGTTATTTTAAAAATGAAGCCATGCCAAAAGTTCATGTGTGTGCTTTGGAACTCCTGATAGGGCCCTTGGCACATAAAAGATGCTCACCAGTTATTTAAAGAACAAAAGATATTTCCTTAAATGAGTAGATTCAGTTAAATATCTTTATAAAAACGAATTCCAAAGCCCAAAGGTTGTTGTTAATTTATCTTTTCATTACTGATTAATAAGTTACCCTATTCTTGGCACTATTTCATTTTCTGTTTAGATTATAAAGCATTTGTCTTGCTCATAATATTCCCTGAAAATTCAAATAACAACTGAAGTTGTTCCTCTTTTTAAAAGTGAAGCTTTCTTTGGAATACTCAAGCAAAAAAAATATAGCCTGGGGGAGGGAACCTTAACTGACAGGAAAGCATTTTCACAAAGAGTGCATAGAGCAGTCTTCTAGATTACATTTTCAAGTCTACATTCAATATGGTTTTAAAGTGGACAGGATAAAGGACAAAGATGATGGTGTGTTATAAAAATTTTAAAAGACCATGAAAATTTAAATGTGAGTGGGAACCTGTGAGAAAACTGTCAGGAGGCTGACATTTCAGGAAAATCGTGCCTGGCATGTGACAACATACTGGGAAGAGTTGTGATGCTTGAGTTATCTGCTTTCTTGCCCTGGCTTTTTTCTGGTCTTCTCTACGTCTCTCTGTGGAGTATTTCTACTCTGTGGTCAGAGTCTCTGGGTCAAGGATTCTGATGTAGGTGCCCAGTATGACTTGTGGGGAGATTGGTTTGTCCCTTGGCATTATCCCAAGGATGGCATTTGAGACTTTTTAAGCAGCCTTAAGCAAGATGATGTGTTATAGCCTGTTTATTCTAAATCTTGTTTCTTGTGTGCTATGAGTCAGGTATTAGTAGGCTCTGATTTGCTTGTGCCAGAGGGGTGGGTGTTTTGGATTGTGATAGCTCTTTAATTGCCACTTCTAGGTTTGAAAGATCTTGCTGAATTTGACCAAGTCATTTTTGTATCCAATAGAATTTGCAATGTTTTCTCAGTCTTTCAAGGGTAAAATTTCTTGACAAATTGTGAGTTCAGATCATTGGCCAGTTGTGAGCCAGACTTGGTCTCAGATCCAAATCTCAGCTTCGATGCATGTGCTAAAGTCTGCTAGATGCTGTTTGCAGAGACTTGGTTCTTGCACCACAGCCACCTAGACTGCAGGGTATGTATGAGTCCTCATAACTGGGGGCAGGTGGAGACTTGCCCAGTTTAGCTGAGATATCCTGTGCTGCCAGGCTCTTGGTTTCTGGTGGCAGCAGCAACAGTGACTCATAGCTTAATGGCAGAGAACAAAGGCAAACAATTGACTCTTTCTGCCAGCCTGAAAGACCATTCCTGCCCTGTGCCAAGCCCGGTCTATTTCTCTGAACAAAGTTCTTCCGCTTTCTCCAGCAGGGGCTTCTGACTTCCAGTAGACACAGGATTTTCCCTGGGGATGTTGCTCCTAATGACCCTGCACACTCAGTGCATCTTGTCTACAGACAGCACCTGCTTTCAACTCTGGTTGACTGTCTGTGTAGCCCTAGTAATGCTAGATACTCATTTTTTACAAGGACCTAGAAATCTAGAATTAAAGATTCTAAAATGTCTGTTTTAAAAGTATTGGTAATTAATTTAAATGTTAAAAAAAATACTGTGCATGTCACAGAACACATATCTATAGGTCAAGCCTGGCTTGTAGACCTCTAATCTGCAACTTCTAGTCTAGACTCCATCCCCTCCACTGACTGGAGTAGCACTAGGAGACTTGAGAAAGCCCCAATCTGATACACACAGCCCAAACTCTGTGCTTCAATGGGCTGCAGAAACCCCACTGAGTTGTGTCTCCCCATAGCTGTTCTGACCAGTGTCACACTCCCTGCAGGAACCCATAGGAGGGAATTAGTCTTGGGCCAGGTGTCCCTTAGCCTAGCCAAACCCAGCCCCTGCTCAGTACTGATCTTGTAGCTCCAAGCTGGTTTGGTCTGCACATGATCTCTTCCAGCCTCCATAAAGAGAGAGCAAGAAGACCTCTCTTGGGGTTAAACAGGTAAACTAAACCAAGTGGAATCAGCACAGGGGCAGGTGTATATTTAGCAGGTAGATTGTGAACACATCTGAGGTCAAAGCAAAATATTTGTTGTTTTCAGCCTAGTGTCAGATACAGGGTGGGTTAAGGGCAGCTGTGAGCACCTCTCAAGATTGATTGCCTTTGGAAGCATCTTCTTATATTCTGGCCTCAGACACATTGAACATCTCTCTATTTCCCAGGAGACTTTCCCTGTTAAGAAGAGTCATTTTTTTTCAGGAAATATACAAAGGAATATTTAAGAAGGGTACAGTCAGAGTTACTTTCTGCTGATCTGGATAGTCTGGATATCAGCTCACAGCATGGGGTTCTGCTCTCTGGTTCTTAAGCAGGTCTGCACAATGCCCAGCTATACACAGAGGCAATTGGAACCTGAAGCCCAGAGTTGCACCTCGGAATACAGGTGTGGGCCAGACCATGCTGGCAATAGAATCTCTGTATTACAAGGAGAGGTCCTCAGGTTAGCTGCTATATTAGAGGTCCCTGGTGGCGTTTTCAAAAGTGGCCTACGGGGGTTCTCTGGTATCTAACTGGGTCCTATAAAATGAGGTCCTCTGCCAATGATGACTAACTTCTCTCCAAAGGGTGCTGGGAGGGAAAAGCTGATCATACTCAGTGGATTTGAGTTTCTACGTAGAGCTGGCAGCCACTTGGAACACTTCCCAGACACTGGGCATTTACAGATATGATCAACATAGAAATCAGAAACAGTGTTCAGTGCTAAAAGAGAGATAGGATCAGGGAGGGGAGAGGAGGCAAGGGTGCAAATTTCCCTTTGTGAGGACACCATCCGGCTCAGGGAAACCCTAGACAACAGACTGTTTCAGCTTCCCATCTGGTCCAAAGCTTCAGGGCATAGGCAACTTTGTGGTTCTGGCTGCCTTTTAGGTGAGGTGTGCAGACCGACAAATGGTGGTCATTGGAAGTCACTGGACATGAGTTTCTGTAGACTGACCACTGGCTGTTGATCTGGGAAGGTCAGTGCACCAAGTTTTCTTACTTGTAGACGATGAGGGTGACAACACAGACTCTATATTACTCAACTTTACTACCTGCTAGAGTTGTGAAATTATTCCATGTACATTTAAAAGAAACTATCACACATGGCCATTGTAAGTCAAGACACTGATTAGGAGGTTATATGGCCTAAGGCAGAGGTCTAGTGCCTAGCTGATAACAGGGGATTCTGTCTCAAAGAGAACCTAAAACAGAGCCATGCACATGATCCTGCAGGAGCACAAATCTGAGGAGGCAAGGCACTGAGTCATGAGTGGAAAAACAGGCATTTCCCAAACATTCCATGAAACCCCACCTGGGAGATTTATGAGGTACAAATAACTAGTTTCTTCAAGCTCATATTATTTGATGTTGAGTCTCCCGATTACAGTGAAGAACACTTTTTACAGGTTCAGCAAAGATGATTTGGGTAGTGGGACTGAGTCTGGATACAACTTCAGTTCATTGTGACCACCTCTTTTTTACACTGAGTTACTCATGAACGAGGCTCCTCAGTAAGGCCCAGCCTTTTACTTCAAAGGGCAAGGGGACATATTTTTTCTTTTATGTCTTTCCATGGCCCATTCTTTCATTTTGGTTTCAGATTGCCAGTGTGGCTGCAATCCTCTATATTGGTCAGTAATTCCCTGGGTCATATTCCACACTTAAAAATGGAGGTAATCACTTCAAGATGTGGCTCTTGAAGGAAGTGAGTGAGTTGAAAGACAAATTCTTTTTATCAGCTCCAGGCAGAAGCTGGGCTTTGGAGAAAGGAAATAGTGGCCCGCTCTGAGATGTAAACTTTCTTTCATCTATCATAAAGGAGTTGTGTTTGTCCTTCTGGAGGAGGTTAGTGGTAGTGAAGTGAGAAGGGCAAGTGATAATTTTTTCCACTGTTTTCTTTCTAAAGTTTCATTACTCAGTTCATGATTCTCAGCAGTAAATAAAACAAGCTTTCCATACTCCTTCCGTCCTCATCCCTGCCCTTTGTCCTTTAAAATATAAGCAACTTTAAAACAATTCGGAGCAGAAGCAGAATGCTGCTTATGAAACCTCTGTTCCTTAGCTTTAGCCTGCTGCTT